CCCCTAAAAGTGTTTATCCGCCGATAAAAAAAAACACGAGTCCCTTAGATTTTAGTCCTCTATAACATATTTAAAAATGAACAAAATCGGAGGGGGACACCTCAGGTACCTTCCTTGTTAGTCTCTTTCTTAATTACTTAAAATAAAATGTTAGGTAGGGACCTAACAGCGCTCCCGGATTGCCCCGGTACACGCTATTTGAGCCGTTTATTTTGAAAGTGGCCTAAGTTCAGTTGTCAATTATTTTCGATTGCCCGTAGTTACATGTACAACTTGAAGTTATCTATCAATAAAGCATTTGAGGTTAATTATATTCCGAGTAAATACGATAATTTTGGACACAAGTTTTCAGAGTTAGTTCAATAATTAAAACCATCATTTTGAAAGTGGCCTAAGTCCAAGCTATATGTACGTTCTAAATTTGGGTATTCACAATTTTCATAACGATAATGTTCATATGTACGTTTCGGATGAAACTATTGCATCAAGAGGTGCTCAAGAAATAGCTTCATGCATCCTAAAACATGTTAAAAATTTAAGAAGTGAAAGACACATTATAGCTTACAGTGACATGTGTGCAGGACAAAATAGAAACGTTAAAGTAGCTTTAATATGGCTAATAATTCTCCAAACTGTTGAATTTAATGTGGAAATCATGGATCATAAATTTTTAATATCGGGATATTCCTTTTTACCAAATGATAGAGATTTTGGCGTGGGAGAAACGTCATTAAAAAAAAATAATTTACAGATTGTCCCCAAGATGATTATAATATTATCAAAAATTGCCGGAGAGGCAATAACTTTATTCCAAATGAAATGAAACGAGAGGATTTTGTATCAACAAAATTATTAGAAGACGCAACTTTTAAAAGGGTAAAGAATTCTAACGGAGAATCGATAAACTGGTTAAAAATATGTTGGATGCGTTTTGTCAGAAATGAACCATATACAATTTTCTATAAGACATCAATAAATGGGAATGAAAATTTTTAAATCCTGAATATATTACCACGTATATAAGACCAAGAATATAAGACCAAGAAAGTTCGAAACTATTGTATTGACACCACTTTATAAGAATATAAGACAAATTACAACAGCGAAATTCAAGGACATAATGGACCTACTGCGATATATACCACCGGAACGTCGTGACTTCTTCAAATCCCTTTCACGTACACAAAATGTTGATGAGCAGTAAATTGTTTTGTAATTTATGTAGTTAAAAAATGTTCTGAATTGCATAAATATTGTTTTTGAAGTGTAAAGATATATAAAATAAATTGAGAATTGTTTTTTTCAATTTAAAGCATTTTAAACTATGTCGAATGGACTCGGGCTCTTTCAAATTTTATAACGAATCTGGTTGTTAATTTTGAAAGTGGCTTAACTCCACATTCATGGTAAGAAAACGCATATTATTCACTTAATAATTGCCATTATTTTAATAGGAACTGTACATTTAATTCCTTTAGTATGACTCATTGGTATCCTGTACGTATATTTTTAATTGCATTGAACCCCAAACCCTTAAATATCTCAATTTAAGTATAAATGGATTTAGGCCACTTTCAAACAAACGTTTCATTTTATCCTCACATAGAAAATTATATTGACGTATTTATAATATGTAACAATATATTTCACCTTTTATTTCGATACTAATAATTGGGATAAATTAATATACCCGAAAAAATCATTAACACTGTATATATAAAAGAATAAGTTTTTCAGTTTTCGACACGCTCCAAATTTTTGTCATGAATAAATGAAAAAAGGGCATAAATAAACACACTTTAAACTGTATGGCATAACTTCTAACGATTTATTTAACTCCACAAGACACATTTCGTCTCAGGATTCAACCGACTTCCTTTTCGACATTTAAAAGCTTTGCTAAATTCCTCCATATTCGAAACTGCTCCACGAACTCTCAATCGTGGACGACTATGTACTTCTGGGAATTGTATGAGATAAGCCAAATATTGCGGTGTAATATATGCGCACCTTACCTGTTAATATAAAATAATAATATATGAAAACCACAGAAACATACAATTTCGTTTCGTGTCCACATTTAAGCGCTTGCATATATGTATTTGGCACGAAACTCTACCGAGTTTCTTAAAAATGGCGCATGTTAATTGTTAAGGTGAAATAATTACGTATAAAAACTACAGAAATAAACAAAAATGGCGCCTTACTTGTTAAAATGAAATAGTGATACATCAAAAATATTCAATATATAGTCTCTAGTGGCACAGAATAATTTATAAATATTTTTTTTCCTAATCTTAGCTAAATATCTTAAGCGTCACACTTTTCAAGACGTCTTGTAAATTTCATTTGAAGATACCTAACATATTTGATATGAATAATATTCTAAAGTAAATGTTTCACAAACATTCCAAATGTCTGTTAAACTTTTGAAAAATGTAGACATTCGTTAAATATATAGAAAATATAAGACAAATATTTCGCGCTACTAGGGTTTAAGGTGAAGTGAAACACGTCGAGGAACTTGAGCGACGTCGATAAAGAAGATTTTTCTAAATGCCTACGTTGCCGACGTTCGTTTTTATATTGACAGCTGTGTTGAATTATATTGGGTATTGTACCAAATGGCATATTTCACCTGTCGGTTTCGTACAATAAACATCAAGAAATCGAAGTGAAACTCCAGAAATCCTCTGGATTCGTGCTTTCTGGGGCCCTAATTGACTGCAGAGGGACTCCCTGCGCCATCTGTGATTTCCAGGTCAACTAAATTTTCACTCCGAGACCTCGTATTCCCCGTCGTTTTAGCATAGAAGCGCATACAACACTTTTTTTGCCTTTATCCCGTTCAAATGCGAGTTTATCGATTACCAGAGTGTTCTAAATAGTCGCAAAATTGTCCTGACCCTTTCAATTCTCATATCAGAGCCTTCGATAATTGTATATTGATCGAAATATGAGAGCTCGACGCCATTTTGGTTCTGNAGTGACGTGTCAATGTTTCGGACAGTTTGGGTTAATACCCTTTAAAAAAAAGTGTTGTATTCGAATCGACTGATTTGAGAGGGGTTTCACTTCACCTTAATTTGTTCCTGTTTCTCTAATTAATAATTGCAATTTACTAACGCTTGCAAATGACAGGAAGAACAGCTGCTCGCTGGAGAATTGTTGAAGTCCAATTAGCGATTTGTAACCCTTTCCTCGATTTTTCGGCAGTTTCTGAAAAGCTGCAAAAGCTGCTTGAAGTCCAGCAGTGTCCGCCATGTTTTCCGAACATGTCGAGTTTCCGTTTGCCTGAAAAAAAGAATTTCCCGGCAGCTAGAGAAGAAAATGAAGAAAAAATGGGGACGCGCTTTGAAAATTAAATTAAATAATGGAGACGCACGTATGCTTCTTGACCAATATTTGCTAATTCTATGTGCTGATATCCATTGAATTGATCAATGAAACATTGAGCTTTAGAGTTGAAAACTCTAACAGCTTCCGGGGACCATGTTTGCTCCTCTTTGCCCAAATAGTTGAAACGAATTCCTGAAGTAATTGTCAAAACATATATTTACAGTGTTAAAAATATTCATAAAATTCAAAATTCACTTTTGGTACACAATGTTGTAGTAAAATAATAAAATTCACATCTCAGAACTGAATTGTTATACATTTATAATAAACTTCAGAATAAACTTGTAATTTTCTAACATCGTATTAGAAGTTTGTGAAATTTTGTAGATAAATCAGTACACTTATGTATTGTATTAAATGTCGTTTGGAAATGTTATAAAATCAGTAAAAATCAGTGAATAAAACTTCCAACGAGAACTTTGTACAATTTCAATATATGTTTTTTTAACAGTGTATCAGATTTAAATTAAAAATCACGTTAAAAGTCGCACCTTTTGTGTCAAAAGCATGAGATATCTCATGGCCGATCGCAGAACCAATCGCCCCATATTGCATAGATCTGAAAATTATAAAACTTTATTAACAGTACTTGAAACGTACTCTTAAACATATTCACAAAACTCATTACACTTTCGGTACATAAAGTTGTTTTAAAATGATACATTTAAAGTCTTTAAGAGTGAATTAGTTCCCGTCCATTGTGGATTTCTAAATAAATTTGCGATAATTAATATAATCTACAAGATTTCAGTTTTTTATTCTTTAACAGTGTTTTTTAATTATTGCATTGTTTATTTAACCACTTACTCGGGCATATCAGGCAGGAAGTATGGCCAGTCGAATACTCCCGCTAAAATAGCTGAAAAGTAAATAGCACGTTAATTTACAGCTGATAAGGATAATGAAAATAAATATCTACTTACATATCATATTTAAGGTATGTCGGTAAAAAGCATTTACAGCAAGTGGGTCTCCCATAAACCTAAAAACATTTAGTTTTCAGAGCCTTGGCGTAAATAGAAAATTAAACAAATTCCATGGTGCTAATTTCAATATACAATAATGTGGTGCATTGCAATTTAATTAAATTTAATTTAATGTGAAGGTCCAGTCGCACGTTATAAAAATATTTCTCGATTCCTCGTGCATTTAAACATTTCATTTCCATACTTACACACTTTCTAATGTATATTTTTCAACCGGTTTTGTTAATTCTGTAACTCTTTGCATAGTGAGTGTAGTTTTATAGTTGAGTACATTTACCATGTACGTAGAAGTAACAGGAAGCTGTCCGAACATAATAATAAATAATTAAATTCGCTAACAAGTTGAAGTATGAAATTAAAATTATGAACATTCGTACCCGTTCATACAATTTGTTAATATATACAGAGTCCTTTCCCCGACCCAAATGAGCAATGAAACCTTTTATAAATCTCAGTTTTTTAATTGCTGCATTTTTTTCCGCCGTATTCAACCAACGTGTATTAGAAATTTGTGTTTCCACGCTGCCCTTTATTTCTGTAAATATTGTCCTCACCTAGAATCGGATTTAAATAATCAGTCTAAAAATTGATACACACGTAATAATAAATATTAGTAAATTATAATTCATTATAATCTGTGAAATTAAATCGCGTTCATTAAACACAATTCGATTAAATCTGTACACATCGATTTGCAGAGGCAACCATTTTTTTACAATATAAAACACTTGCTTTTTCAATGGAATCATCAGAAACAAATTTGGTCAGGTATTGATAAATTATCGCCTCTTTAAATGGGTTTTTTCTAATACAGTCTTTCCACCTGAAACCGAAATTTACGCGAGTGTAATTATTCGCTGTAATTTTCTGCGATTATTACAACAATTTCTTGTAATTCACAACGATTGTAATAATTTATTGTAATTTACTGCGATTATTATAACAGTCCTTTGTAATTTACAGTCTCATATCTGAAGTCTCACCTTGGCTTGAGACTGCTGGTTTGTAAAAGCTCTTTCTTAATTCCATAATCAAGTTGCCTCATATTCTCATTACTATACTTGAAAGTTTTGTATATAAACCTCCAGTGAACGTAATTTACTGTAAACAAATAGATTTATATTTCCGGTACAACTTATTAATATAACCTTAATAACATAATTACTGATTTATTACTTAGGGTTCTTTTTGGGGTATTATTCAGTATGGCACCCAATTTTGCGAAATACTCAAGAGGACTGATAAGAATTTTTTCCCTTTCGGTCACCTGCATATTTGATGTTCTCAACAAATTGTTGACAACATCCAACCAATTGATCTGAAGAAAGATATATGAACATTTTATTTTCATGGATTTTGAAGTTATCTATAAAAATATATACAAAGTATATATTGGGTTGTTCGGAAAGTAATTTCGTTGTTTCCCAACAGAGCACTTAATTTTTTTTTTCACAGCCAACTTCACACTTAAGCCGCATGATCATTATATATTTTGACAGCTGCTCTAGCAAGGCTTGCTTGTGAAAAAGTTTGATTGTTTCTACACAGTAGTTTTTGGTTGGTACCCTTTCAAATATGGAAAGTGAAAAGCGGCATTTTCGGCATATTTTACTTTTTTACTATCGAAAAGGTAAAAATGCTGTTCACGTAAGAAAAAAATTATCCGATGTGTATGGAGAAGATGTATCGACGGAACGCCAGGGTCAAAATTGGTTTGCAAAATTTCGATCCGGCAATTTTGATATCGAAGATGCCCCACGTTCTGGAAGGCCACTTAAAGCTGATGAAAACACGATAAAGGCATTAATTGATGCAAACCGGCGAATAACAACTCGGGAAATCGCTGAGAGATTAAATTTATCGAATTCGACCGTTCGTGATCATTTGAAACGCCTAGGTTTAATCTCAAAGCTCGACATATGGATTCCTCGTGTTCTTACGGAAAGAAATTTGTGTCATCGCATTGACGTCTGTGATTTGCTTCTCAAACGTGAAGAAAATGATCCATTTTTGAAGCGCATCATCCCTGGGGACGAGAAACGGGTTGTCTACGATAATGTTACCCGCAAGAGATCATGGAATAAAAAAGATGAACCGGCTCAAAGAACTTCGGAAGCCGAAATTCATCAAAAAAAGGTGATGGTATCTGTTTGGCGGGATTTCAAAGGAATCGTTTTTTTTTGAGATTCTACCGAACATCATAACGATCAATTCTGAAGTGTACTGTCCCCAGCTGGACAAATTGAATGATTCACTTAAACGGAAGAGACCAGCATTGATCGATAGAAAAGGTGTAGGGTTTTGCCAAGATAATGCGAGACCTCATACAAGTTTCTTAACTCGCCAAAAGCTTCTACAGCTTGAATGGGATATCCTGCCACACCCACCATATTCTCCAGATCTGGCATCTTCTGATTATCACTTGTTCCGGTCTCTACAAAATTGTTTAGACGGTAAAACCTTTACTTCAAATGAGGAGGTCAAAAATCACCTGGATCAGTTTTTTGACAGGAAAAACCAAACATTTTATGAGCGTGGAATCATGCTCCTGCCAGAAACATGGCAAAAGGTATTGGACCAGAATGGACAATATATAATTCAATAAAATATTTATTCGCTATAAAAAAATCGTCTCATTTTCATAAAAAAAACGAAATTACTTTCCGAACAACCCAATACATGTAGGTAATTACAAAAGTGGTCTGAATAAACAATCTAAAGAAAAATTATTTACGTGTAAATTACAATAATAAGAATTTCTTTAATGCAGGAAAAAATTACTTAGACTAGTTTTATAATTACAGGCACATGTATAATTTCAAATCGGAATATAATATGTATGTTTCATGTCGCTTAATGTATTTGGCTTGAAACTCTACCGAGTTTCTTTACTTACCGTAGACTGTTCCGACAGAGTTACTCGCTGATTGTAAAAATTCTGAAGTCCGAATATTGTTGACGATGAAATTTGTATTTCCCTTCGATTTTGCGGCCCAACGAGGCCAGCCTAGAATAAAAATTGTAAATGTTAAAAGAGATCATAGGATATTATAAATGTTGGAAGATAATAAATGTTAAACAAGGGAAAAATTTGCATCTTACATCAAGGAGAGAAAGCTCGAGTCTAATCAGAGCTTTTGCATCCATCATAATTGCATCATAATCAGTAATTTCAGATGAGTTTAGACCGACATGTTTAAACAATGTAACAATTGTTGTCATATATTGCAACATGCCTGTGTGATTGTTTTCATTTACCAAGTTCATTAGGATTCTCAAAGGAAACGTTAATTGCGGCCGACCTACCTGTTGATTAAATATTATCAGGAAACTCGGTAGAGTTTCCGCCAAATATACACACTTGCATACGTACATATACATGTGTACGCGTTACAAGTTAATACAAAAGTAATATAAATTAAATATCGAGGTTAGATTGAAATATCTAAGTAGTGAAATTTTTACAGGAAACAAAATGTCTGAATATTGCCTTGGATAATTTTTATTGTTTACCGACAATATCGTGACGTTCTTATCGAGTGGATTTGGCACGATTGTGAAGTGAAAGAACGTCGATCGTCCAGTAAGTTGTGTATAATAATTGTCAATAATTTGCCAAGATGGTCCATTGGGATTCCATTGATTTGCCATCATCGCCATCGGCCAACCACCAAACTTTCTAATAATATTCGCCAATACTACAATTCCTTCACGGTCGTCATCTCCTCCATGAAAAACAGAAAATCTTCAATTAATTTTTAGGCTAATTCATTATTTAACGGTACAATTTCTTCCGAGGATTATATATATATACATTTTTATGGGATTACGTATTTACTTATCACCCCGTACATCGCTCTGCATATTAAAAATGTGAATAATCAGGTAATAAATAAAAAAAAAAATGCAGTTCTTGTAAAATGTAAAGTGTCGCATGTGGATAAATTTTTAATCAAATATATGAAATATAAACATAATACAATTTCGCTAAAAGAAGAAATATCTCACCAATATTTAGGCAAACTTGGTGCCATTTTTTTGCCTTTTGTACAGATTCAATATCGTTCGAATTAATGGTCTCCTCCAAAATGGCTGAAATTCCATTCAGAATTTTTATTCAATTTACTTGCGTCTCGACAAGTTCTTTATTCTTTCATTTCTTTATTCTTTACCCTTCTTGCGATCTTCATTTTTTTTCGTAAGCACATCTATCTCGCTGTGATACCCTTTATTCAAAGGAATTGTATGGTAATTGATCCAATGTCCGCAAGAAAATTGATAAAAATCATAGCACGGATCGGCACTCGTGTCCATGTTCTTCAAAATGTTACTAGCTAAAGGATAAACAAATTGAATAAACATATAATAAATGTAGAAGACTGTTAACACTAGATTGCCGGAACGAGCCAATTTGACTCATTTACGATTTTATTGCTGTATATATAGAAAAACTTAAATAATTTATTTTTAAAACATATNGAGAGGGAAAGCATGCCTAATTAATAACCAGTTTAAGCTTAGAATTTTTGTTGCAGCCTAATTTAGCGATCCGCGGGAACTCTTCCCAATTTCCTGTAAGGGATCATCCATTTGTTTTTTTTGGAGTTCCCGGGCGTACTCTCGAGCACTCGCAAATGTTCGGAATGAATATTTGGCGAGGTGATCGAGAGCTCGCCAAATTTCTGTATCGCGTAGCGAGGCTCCAGTCGCTAGGCTGGAGTGTCAACATCGGCGACCTCTCGGAGGTCGCGCTCGTGCGCGCGCTACCGCTCGTCGCCCCGATCGGGAAGAAAGAAGCCGACGAGGAAGCCTCAGCGGCCAAGAGCATCAGGACCGAGCTCATCAGCCGCGGTGCCACGGCCCATTCGTCGGATCCATCCGGGGGGCAAATCGGCCCTGCTACACCCCCTTGTAATAGTACGGATTAGGCCGTGCAATATGCACCGTCTATTCCACACTGTCGTGACATTTTGATGTTTGAGTCAAATTGACTGATTTCAGGCAAAATAGGTATATACCCAACATCCGGCAATCTAGTGTTAAAGATTATTACCAGCGCCAAAAGTGGGAAAAATAAACCGGAACCAGAACAAGGAAGATTATCGTTAAGGGACGAGGAAGTTTAATTTTACTTTTTATCCATTACTTTTATACATTATTTCACAACTTTTATACATTAATTATTAAGTTAGTAATAATTAAATTGTTGCTTACCAACATTTCTGCAGACCTCTGTGCTGCAAATTTCCGAAGTTTCCGATGTGCTAGGAATTGGCTTTGGCGTTTGTGTCTTGACTTCTTGTAACTCACCAATATTTAGGCAAACTTGGTGCCATTTTTTTGCCTTTTGTACAGATTCAATATCGTTCGAATTAATGGTCTCCTCCAAAATGGCTGAAATTCCATNTTACCAACATTTCTGCAGACCTCTGTGCTGCAAATTTCCGAAGTTTCCGATGTGCTAGGAATTGGCTTTGGCGTTTGTGTCTTGACTTCTTGTAAAATTGTCAGGAACACACTTGTAAAATGAAATACGCAAGTTTAAAAAATATCCTAGTCGCAATTCTGAACAACTATGTCCTTACATTGTTAAATAGAGGATAACGTTCCTAGATTTAAGCATACAAATTTGGTTACTAAATTCCATCGCGCTTCGATTCGTTTTTAAAAAATCGAAACTGGAAGCGAAAAATGCATTCCATGTAATTTTGTATCCGCGTTCTATTTCCTACCGGAAGAAATAGCTATACAACGTAATGAGTGAAGATAAAATTCGATCGTGACCGAATATTAACACGACGTTTTACTTTACCGCAGTTAAAAAGTGATAACAAATTAATAACTGGACGTTCTACAGATTGCGGCATTTTAAAACGTCTCTGCATTACTGATTTCACTGTCAATAGTTATTATTAACAATTACGGAAATACCATTCATCGAATTTTTTCGAATTTCGAACCGCCAAGCCTTAGACGTATGATACATGGATTGCTTATTGGGTGCCACTCGTAGAACGGTGAGAGAACGAGAACAGTAGCGGGATTCTGTACATCATATTCGCTAGCTATCGATGTCAATAGCGCAGCTTAAGGTGAAGTGAAACATCCTTCAAATCAGTCGATTCGAATACAACACTTTTTTTTAAGGGTATTAGACCAAACTGTCCGAAACTTTGACACGTCACTCCTGATCGTCTAAGAATTGTCCTGACACATTGAAAATTTGGATTTTTCAAAAGAATCTTTTAACTCAGTCCAGACCAGAACCAAAATGGCGTCGAGCTCTGATATTTCGATCGATATACAATTATCGAAGGCTCTGATATGAGAATCGAAAGGGTCAGGACAATTTTACGACAATTTAGAACACGCTGGTAAGCGATAAACTCGCATTTGAACGGGATAAAGGCAAAAAAAAGTGTTGTATACGCTTCTTTGCTAAAACGATGGTAATACGAGGTCTCGGAGTGAAAATTTAATTGACCTGTAAATCACAGATGGCGCGGGGGGTCCCTCCGCAGTCAATTAGGGCCCCAGAAAGTATTATATACCATTTAATACTTGCCTTCAAAATACTTCAACAGCTTTAAAATTATTAAACAAGCATATGTCTAATATAGGGTGCGGGGGACCAGGTTCATCCTCCGATGGACCTGCTTCCCCGTAACGTGAGGGAGCATCGAGCCCACCACGTTGCAGTACTTACACGTTAACATTTAATACTTGCCTTCAAAATACTTCAACAGCTTTAAAATTATTAAACAAGCAAAATCGAAAACTTAACCAAAATTTAGGATATAAAATAAAACACTTGTGAAAAAGAACAAAAATTATGACACCAAAATTATTTAAATTGGTCCAAAGAAAATTAAAAACGGCAGCAGACTTTGCATATTATGGAAATCACTTATTTCTTAGAAAATAATTATTTCCCCTCAATAGCATTCACAACAGAAGACGAAACGAAGTTAAAACATCAACTACAGAACATAGTTTTATCATATATAATACGTTACCTTTCTAGGTATGTATCGTGACGTGGTATATTTTGCCACCCCACGGCGACCCCAAATTTCTGCCGACATCTTTTTTTTTGCATTCTTTAGTTGCAGGGTCCGAGGTCCGACGGTCACCGACCCGAGGGAGAGGGAAAGCATGCCTAATTAATAACCAGTTTAAGCTTAGAATTTTTGTTGCAGCCTAATTTAGCGATCCGCGGGAACTCTTCCCAATTTCCTGTAAGGGATCATCCATTTGTTTTTTTTGGAGTTCCCGGGCGTACTCTCGAGCACTCGCAAATGTTCGGAATGAATATTTGGCGAGGTGATCGAGAGCTCGCCAAATTTCTGTATCGCGTAGCGAGGCTCCAGTCGCTAGGCTGGAGTGTCAACATCGGCGACCTCTCGGAGGTCGCGCTCGTGCGCGCGCTACCGCTCGTCGCCCCGATCGGGAAGAAAGAAGCCGACGAGGAAGCCTCAGCGGCCAAGAGCATCAGGACCGAGCTCATCAGCCGCGGTGCCACGGCCCATTCGTCGGATCCATC